GCGGACAATGAAGCGAAGCACCTAGTTGACTCTTATCGCAACAAGAAGCGACTTTGTGCTGTTCGAGTAGGGATTTATGCTTAGGACAACGAGTTTTTTGACCGCTACCTTCTAATTTAATAGCCGTGTCACCATAAGCGGCTCGGCCAACAATACGGGTTTTTTCTTCGGAAAAACTCTTACTTTTGCCTCGTTTGGTAAATACCATTATGTCATCGTTGCCGGAAGTAAAAGCAACTTGACTAATTTCATCGTGGTGCTTGACTATATTAATTATTTTCTTCCCCCCCTTCATTACTCTGCCAATTTTTTCTAGGGGTAAACGTTTAATCTTCCCTTTTTTTGTGCCAATCACTAAGTATTTTTCTTTTTTCTCGGTTGTAGTTAAAAAGTCCTCGCGGACGGAAACAATTTTCTCAATAACTTCTTTTTCATCTAATTTCAACATTCGGCTTTCTCGCAAGTTAATACTTTTATCACTTAATTTGTAAACTGGCAGGATAAAAATTTTTCCAAAGTTAGAAAAACATCACAAGTCATCGCGGCAGTTAGACTTAATAATAGCCAAATTCTCGCCCCGAGTTTTTAGTTCCTTTCCTACGCTGGGAATATTAGTAGCCTCCAACGAATTAATTTTGTAAATGTTTAAATAACTAGGCAATTTTTCTTTTTCTTCCGTTTCTGACTTAGTTTTTTTTCTTTTCACCCCGACTGAGAATGACAATAAGTTCTTCGGGAGCAATGGCTTTTCTTTCATCAATCAAGTGAGAATCAGCAATAATTTGGGTGCGTCGTTGGTCTTTCTCGTAATCTTTTTTTAATTGCTCTAAATCGGCGATTAATTTTTCTTTACGTTTTTCCTCACTATTAATTAACTGCCCCAATTTTTCATTTTCGGTCTTTAAATCAGTAATTCCTTTTGCCAAATCGGCTTGTTTTTCCGGGGTAAATTGGCGAAAACTAATCGACATGCCCAAAATATTTTCAATTTTTATTTGTCCTTGTTTAATTTCGGTGAACTTTTGTTTTAATTGTTCGTGTCGTTCTTCTTCCGTCGGATAACCCTTAATTATTTCCGCAATTTCTTGGTAATTATTGATAATGAAGAGGCGAGTATTTAAATTAACTAATTCTTTTTCATTCTCTTTTCACAAAAATTGGGATTTACGACGAATATTTTCTAAGCGATTGCCGATGAATGCCTGTAGAATTTCCGTCAAGGAAAATATTCGGGGGTTTTCACCTATTAAGGCCCGCATTTTAACGGCGTAACTAATTTGTAATTGCGTACTCTTGTATAATTTATTGAGAATTATTTGGCCGTCATGCTGTTGGGCGTCAAACTCCAAGCGAATATCAGTAATTCCTCGGTTAGAATAATCAAAAATTTTTTTCAGACCGGGGATTTTTTTTTCTTCATCCTTAATCTTAATTAGATCGGCAACACGGGCAACCAGAGTTGATTTGCTGACTTTGTAAGGCAATTGCGTAATTCAAATGATATTGCGAGCCGTTTTTTCTGTGCCGGCTATTTCCCGACCGCCGTTTTTTATTTCTTGGGGCGATAAAATTTGAGCCTTGGCTCGTAAGTAAATGGTGCCTTCGCCTTTTTCATAAATGTTGGGTAATTTCTCCTTTTCTAAAACATAGCCACCGGTGGGAAAATCAGGTCCTTGTAAATCATTAACTAATTCTTGATTGATTTTCTTTTTTAATTGTAGAAGGCTTTCTTCGATTTTTTTTCTCTCTTCGATTAATTGGTTCTGCTGTTCGACGATTGACTGTTTATCCCCCGCGTCTTCCGTTGCTTCTTTTTTGAAATCGGTAGCAGCAATTTGCTGATTTTTGCTGTTGATTTCTGTTTGTAATTTCTGGATAGAAATTAAATCGGGATTACTAATTAAGTTGATGGTGGCGGTTAAAGTTGACCCTAAATGATGAGGAGGAATACTAGCAGTCATTCCGACCGCAATACCGCTAGAACCATTTAATAGTAAGTTGGGGAGGCTGGTTGGTAAAATAACCGGCTCCTCTTTGCCCTTGCTATCGTCATAATTGTTTTTTCAATCCGTGGCTCCGTAAGCAATATCCTCTAATAAGTGAAGCGCATAAGGGGTTAATTTTACCTTGGTATAACGCATAGCCGCGGGGGGATTTTTATCATAACCAAAATTACCCCGTCCGTAAACCAGTGGATAACGGAATTTGTCGACCCGCACCATGTTCGTCATGGCATTGTAGATGCCTTGGTCGCCGTGGGGATGCCAATCGGCCATAGTTTTACCCACGATATTAGCTGAAGTAACCTCACCTTTGTTAGGAGTAATTCCTAATTGTCAAAAAGCGAAAAGGAGCCGACGTTGTACGGGCTTCAAACCGTCGTGAACGTTTGGCAAGGCTCGATCTTCGACTACGGCGTAGGCATAGCGAAGAAAGTTAACCAAGGCCAGATGGCTCATATCGATTTTTTGATCCTCGCTAACGGTTAAGGTGGCTTGTCGGTAGTCCCGATTTTCCAAGTATTCTTTGCGTTTATCGCTCTTGGTTCCCATCAATCCCCGCATTATTTTTTCATCTTCCATTCAATTAGCAATATTTACATTATACAAACGCCGTTGGCTAGGATCCATGGTACTTTCGAATAGTTCTGAGGCATCCATTTGTCCTAAACCTTTCACTCGTTCAATTTTTCGTTCCTCGCGGGGGTGATTTTGTCGATAAGTTTTTAATTCTTGCTCGTCATAAAAATAATGGACTTGTTTCTTGGCTTGAACTCGGTAAAGAGGGGGTACCGCTACAAATAATTTTTCCCCTTCAATTAAATAAGGCAAGTGTTTAAAAATGAAAGTTACTAATAAGATAACAATATGGGCTCCGTCATCATCTGGGTCGGCCATCAAAATGACTTTCTGAAAATTGGCTTTGCCTAGCAAACTTTTGAGCGTTTCACGAACAATAATGGTTACTTGCTCTAAATTAAGTAGAGTGCCCTCTGCAATTACTTTTTTTTCACCCTCCTCTTCATAAGTAAAATCTTCCGGCAAAATCAATTCCTCGTCTAATACTTTTTTTTCCAATTGGGGACGAAAGCGAATGTAATTGTTCTTCAAGAGACCTTTGGTATCAGCAAAACCCAAGGCTAATAGAATGTTATGGATTTGTTTATTTTGGAGAACCCGCCGCACTAATTTCAAAGCGTTGGGTGGTTTACCTTGGAGAGCAAGAACGGTTTGGGTTTTCACATCTCGGCCTTCCTCAGCACTACCACCCGCCGACTTACCTTCCACGAAAAAAATTTCCTCATTTTGTTCCGAACCGGATAATACTTTCACTAAATCGAGTGATTTCTTTCCGCCTTGAAAAATGTCTTGTTCTTCTTTTAAGTGTAGGCGAAGTTTAGCATTATCGATAATTTTTTCCTTAATGATTTTAGCCGTAGCGGCATTATCTTGAAAAAAACCGCTTACTAATTCTTGGGTGTACTTTTTGGCTTTTTCCCGCACTTCTCGATTAGCCAACCGGTCTTTGGTTTGTCCGGCAAATTCGGGGTCTTTAATGCGGACCGCAATCAACACTGTCAAGCCCACCAAAATATCATTGGGTTCAATTTCTAAATTAGGATTATCTTTGAGGACTAGTTCTTTACAAACTTCCAAAAGACCGCTCTCGAAACCACTGACATGGGAACCACCGCCACCCGTGCGAATATTATTACAAAAAGAACGAATATTATTTTTGTCGTAACTGTCCTGATACTGAAAAGCCAAACTTAATTGAAAATATTCACGCTCTTTTTCTTCCACCGTCTTATGAAAAATCTCCCCCAAGGTTGTCTTTCCAGCATGAAGTTCTTCAACCCAACTCTTTAAGCCCCCAATGAAGTGATAAACAATTGGTTCGGCTGTGGGAGAAGTAGCAAAATATAAGGTCAAATTAGGGTTTAGATAGGCTATTTCTTTTAAGCGTCTTTGAATAATTTCTACTTTGAAATAGGTGAATTCCTTGAAAATTTCCGAATCGGGGGTGAATTCTACTAGCAGACCATTATTTCGTTTGAGAGTGTCAGTAATTTGCGAAGAAATTAATTTTCCCTTTTCGTAGATTAAGGTTTCGGTTTTTTCTTCGCGGCTACTTTCTACGCGTAAAGATTTGGAAAGGGCATTAACTACGGTTACTCCAACTCCGTGCAGTCCACCGGAGGTTTTGTAGGCTTTGTTGTCGAACTTTCCTCCCGAATGAAGAACTTCAAAAATGGTTCTCAAAACACTCATTTTGGTTTTGGGGTGAATTTCGATAGGAATGCCCCGTCCGTCATCCTTGATAGTAATAGTAGTTTGGTCGGCCGAAAGGGTAATTCAGATTTTTTGACAATAACCAGCCATGGCTTCATCAACTGGGTTATCAATGGCTTCTCAGGCTAAATGGTGTCAGCCTTGTTCGTCGGTGGAACCAATGTACATTCCCGGTCTTTTCCGAACTGCTTCAATATTTTCTAAAACTTGAATGCTTTCGGCTCCGTATTCGTCTTTTTTCTTTTTTTCTTTTTCGGGCATAAAAAATAATTTCTTGGGAAAATATAATAAGTTGATATTAAAGATATAAAAGTATAAGGATGGAAAATTTGAAAGTTAACTTACTTAACAACTTTATTATATTCTCTTACAGAAAGGAATTTGCTTAAAAAACTTTTTTGTAAAAAGCGTTGTAATTATTTTACTTTCAGAATTTTTTTAACTCTCGATATTCGGGAGAAGACTCAATAAGTTTC